TTTGTTTGTTTGTTTGTTTGTTTGTTTGTTTGTTTGTTTGTTTGTTTGTTTGTTTGTTTGTTTGTTTGTTTGTTTGTTTGTTTGTTTGTTTGTTTGTTTGTTTGTTTGTTTGTTTGTTTGTTTGTTTGTTTGTTTGTTTGTTTGTTTGTTGGGGTGTTGGGGTGTTTGTTTGTTGGGGTGTTTGTTGGGTTGGTTGGTTGGTTGGTTGGTTGGTTTTTCTAGTGAAGGCCTGTAGGACTTGTAATTTGTCACAGTAAATGGACATAAATTGCAGAATTTTTACCTTTGGAATGAATGCAGAACCAAAAACGGGCTCTGCGTAATTAGTGGTCAGGTCCTTTGGATATGTATAACCTTTCAAGAACTTCATATACATTGAACAGTCCTTCATTTTAAGAAAATCCAGGAGAGCTATAAATTGCTTTCCTCAAATCTCTCAGGAGAGCAAATCCCTCTCCTTAAAATAAACCAATTAAAAGAAGTGGAAAATGAGGTCAAACCATTGTTTGTACCCGGGGGGTCTAGCACATTCCATTTTTTGGTGAGGTTATTCACAAGGTTCCCTTGCATTTGGGCACAGTCTTTTACGCTCCTTTAGGAGTGTTGAGGAGGGCAGTGGGAGTGCTTACGTGATTGCACTCCTTTACAATGAAGGACTGATTGAAGTAGAATATTACTCAAAGCCCCACTTAAGTGTGGGTATGCCCTACTGCTTAGTTCTAGAGTGTTATGACGTGAACATAATATGTATTTTTCAGAGGGTCAGAGCATGAAATTACGGTCGGACATCGTACATTTTCCTAGCACTTATTTTGCTTGTCCAGTCAAAATCAAAGATGCTCGGGCAAATTGTCCGACCAACATATCAATAACAGCTCTTAAAATATCAACACAATATGTGGGATTATGGCATCCAATTTATTATAAGGTTTGTGTTAGAATTACCTCAATTACGCCCAAGGCATTCATTAGGACTGATCGCTCATCACCAGCCCATGTCACCCAATGCCACATGTGGTTGAACACACATGTGTAATTGTGTATACTTTACTTGCAAAGACTTGAAATCACCCCATAATTTTTTGCATTTTGTAAAACGTAGGTCGTGCTGTCAATCAATGTTCAATTTTCCATGGTAAACCATGCATGACACATAAACTGGGTACCAGGCAATATGGACCAGTAGTGGTTGGCTGCATTCTGCACATTTCCTCCAGCTCAACCCTAGTGTGGTGCACATGCATTATATTTCTGTATACGCAATGGGTGTATACCCTCATTGACCCATGGGTCTAACTCCTGCCCAACACAAGTAGCTCACTCGAATGCAGCCCTTAGTCACGGCTTGAACATGTTCCGAGTTAGACTGTTTCCCAGTCCCTGCAGTCTGAACAAAAATAATTATAATAAACCTTTTATATAACATGGCAGATCAAAAGCTGGTAAAGGCAGAACAAAATTGATTGTGTGATGACATTTTGTCTGAATGCTTTTGCCAAGATGCAGTGCATTCAACCTACCCACAAAGATTGCAGTCCCTTAGGCCTTAAATTTTAGAGTCTACGGCGCTCTACCTACCCAAACAGTCACTACATATGCAAGTTTCCCATGTGCGTATTATTCATTCACTGAAAAGATTTCATCACCCGTAATGCATCCTGACCTCCCACAATGCAGCGTGGCCTCGCCGCCATAATCGTCCTTCTTTTCTCAGTGCCGTAACGTAACGGACGTGTCTTTCGAGGCATCTTCGATTTATCGAGCTTCCGTTTTTGCTACACAGTTCTGTGTCGATTTGATCACCTTTCCTTCCTTTGTGAATAATGTATAACCTGCATTTATCCATTTATTGGTAAGAGTGTTCTTTTTGTGTTCTTTCTTCAGTTTTCTCGTATGTGCACCCTGCAGGTGTTTACCATCGGTACGACGAGGTTTGTTCCAGCTACACTGTGTCTACCCTACCTGTGAATTATAGGCCTTAGCCGTTTGAATTCAGGGGATCGCTGTCAGGATCTGTCATAATCCCCTGTCTTCTCCGGTTACCAGGACAAGGAAAAGGCCTTGCTGTCATCCAGAGGGTTCCAGCCAGGATCTGGCCAGGCCGGTGGTTCATTCGGCCCCACGGAGCTGACGGGGAAGCTCTGTGGTTGACTGCGGAAGACCCGAGCAGGGACACCGCCAGGATCTGGCTAGGACCCTGTCTCCTTGGTCAATTGCTGGCCTGGTGAGCCAGCAGGGACTCCCAGAGAGTACCCCCGTCAGACGTCTTCAGGGCCCGTTCCGCCATCGTGAGGTACGCCTGACGCCTTTCGCCCAACATGGCCCAGAGAAATCCACACAACGTTCCAGCCAGCATTTCTTGGCAACACCAAACAGTACCACCCGCCGTTCAACATTGGCCTAGAACTCTACTTCTCTGGCATTCCCCGGGGTGTACTCCCTCTGAGACTGCTCCTCAGGCATTCCACGGCCCTGGCTGCCACCTCAGCTGCCGGGCCATCCGCCACTGGGTGCTTCAAGCACACTGTGGCTCGGGCTTTTTATGGGCTTCACCGGGTCATTGGACCTCATTTCTCCTGGTCCTTCTGCCTGGAATTCTGTAGTTCCTGTTGACCTCGACCGGGAACGCACCCGGGCGTTCCACCTCTCGCAGCTGCATCTGCATTCCGTCTCTCGCTGCCCCATCTGCCACCTCTGCTGCCAGGATGCCCATCGCCTTAGCTTCAAGTCACCGCAGCCCATCTCTGACTCATGCTTTCAACTAGACATCATCGAGCCTCTTCTCCCCTAGGCCCTCTGTCCGTAATTCTGCAGTTCCCGCTGTCCTCGACTGGGAATGCACCCTAAGCGGTACGCCTCCCGCAACCCCGTCTGCTACCTCTGCCGGGTCGCCCACCACTGAAAAAGGCAAGCGCTTCTCATCTTCATCAAATTCCTCGACCACCACAAACATACCTCTGCGGCTTGAATGTTGGCCTTCCAGCCCATTAATGAAGTTCCGACCTCCTTCGCTCGCTGCCTTGGCGTTAGACCGTAATCAGCCTCCACCGGCCCGGACTCGTTTCTGGTGGAGCAGGCCGTTCCACCCATTCCAGCCGCGAGCCATGGTTACATCGGGCAGGGATCCACTCTGGAATCGCACCAGCCAGGCATACTCCATAGGGAGCATGCTGTTCCCTACGGGGCTGCGCATGGCTCGGAACGAGGCACTGCCCTGTCCCCGACCAGCCAACCAGCATTGTCTTCTGAAAAGAACAAAGTTGATTCCATCAGCGCCCTCACTCCGTCCAATTGCCGCCGCCTCTGTCTTCTTCAGCAAGACATGATTCAGGTGCTCAGCCTGCCATTAGCTGCTTCACTGGAGGAAGGCAACAGCCATGACTTGTTCAAATGACATAGCACGACTGGAATCTTCTGGGACAATTTTCCAAAACTTCACGGTTGATCATTCATAGCCTCCCTTCCAGAGGAAAACACCAACCATGCCTGTGCCAGTCAACCAACCATCCCACGTCTTAAGACACTCTTGCTATGGGGCTCCCATTCGTGAACTAGGCTCTTTGCCTTGGCGGACCGCTCCCCCTTGTCGCCTTCCCTTTGTCTAGGGCCTTCAAGCAGAACGTCTTGGAGACAACTAATCTATCGAACACAGTGGAACACTGTTAAAGTAGGGTCCTTTGAATTTTACAAATTCCTTGTGTTATCAGTTACGAAAAATAAAGATGAATAAAAAAGTCCTTGTCATAAATATGACCTTGTATTATAAATTATGAGTATTATAAATGCTCATCCTATCTGTCTTCGATTATATATGTATTGTGAGAGTCTTTGGGCTCCCTCCTCAATGAATATGAACCACTACCCCACTTTTCCAGGCGGCCTTTACATGCAAATGCAACCTACCTAGCCTCTGACATATCTACAATGTGAGCATCCAGACATAATCCACACGGTAACACTTTCCAGGCCAACTTCCCGGATCATTGCCCCACTGAATATGCCATCCCATGTGGACACCCCCCCCCTGAAAAAATCCAGAATCTCTGTCAAAGCCTTCTGGAGCTACTCTGGCTATTATCGGCAGGCCCACCCAGGCCACAGGGAAGTGAGTCCATGCTTTACCTGGTAATCTCTAATGACCGCTACAAGTCTAAACCTACCAGCATTCGAGACTACGTTACCAGGCACCAAGATAGACAGGAACAAACAAATAACGTTTTCCAGGCAGTCTTCCTATCTTTTTCAGTTCTGTCACAGTAAATTTGTCATCGTGACGCAGACCTACCGCTGCGTCTCTTCAGTCCACATCCCCAGACATCCAAACCTGACGTTCTTCAAGCCGTTGGGATTTTCACACCCAATGACACCCTGTAATCCAGGGGTTTCCCCAAGGGGCCCTGTGAAAAAAAAAATTACGAATCTATTCGCACTGCGTCTCACAATGTACAATCCTGCAATCATTGTTCCACTTACTTACATGACCCCACGTGAGCACAGATTGTGCTGTGTGGCCCTGCCATAATGCACAGTGCACACTGTCCAAAACGTGTTTACTTCAAAGTGAGTGTGTCCAAAATCTTTTTACTGTGACTGTTAGGAGGTCTGTCAAAAGTAGGTCTGCTGTGAGTCCCT